TATAGTGAGTTTTCTAGGCCATGGGATGCGAAAATTCGGACATGCGGTACATGGAGTCTATGGGTCCTTGGTCCTTGGTTCCATGGGGTCCATAGGGTACATGGAGTGAATGGGGTCCTTGGGTCCATGGAGTGAATGGGGTCCTTGGGTCCATGGAGTACTTGTGTCCACGGGTCCATGAGTCTATGGGTCCATGGGTCCATGGGGTCCTTGGGTCCATGGAGTGCTTGTGTCCATAGGTCCATGGGTTCACGGGTCCATGAGTCCATGGGTCCATGGGTCCATGGGTCCATGGGGTCCTTGGGTCCATGTGTCCATGTGTCCATGGGTCCTCGAGTCCTTGGGTCCATTTGTCCATGGGTCCATGGAGTGCTTGTATCCATGGGGCCCATGGGATCCATGGGTCTATGGGGTCCATGGGGTCCATGGGGTCGAATTTCCCAATTCCTGAGTTTCTGAATTTTCAAATTTTCTGATATTTTGGAAGTTTTGAAATCCCATAAATATTTCAAAACCTACAGTAACCCCAAAAACTCCAAAATTTCAGCTTTTTTGTTTCTCAACAATTCAGTTTTGCGCGTCGAAAATCTATCTTCAACTCAAGTCCGCAAACACCGTGTTATCAGTGAAAACATTTGATCTACATCGTCAATTATTCATTACATTGGTTTTTCAAGTAAGCGCGCTCTATTGAAAGTTTTTTGAAAAATCGATTTTTTTTCGTTTTTGGGTCATTTTTCGCCGTGTATGGGTTCCATGGGGTGTATGGGGGACCACGGGATCTATGGTGTTCAATGAGGTCCATGGGTTCCATGCGACCCATGAGTTCCATGAGGTCCATGTGTTCCATGGGGTTCATGGGGTTCATGGGGTTCATGAGGTTCATGGGGTTCATGGGGTTCATGGGGTTCATGGGGTTCATGGGGTTCATGGGGTTCATGGGGTTCATGGGGTTCATGGGGTTCATGGGGTTCATGGGGTTCATGGGGTTCATGGGGTTAATGGGGTTCATGGGGTTCATGGGGTTCTTGGAGTTCATGGGTCCTTGAGTCTATGGGGCCCTTGGGACCATTATTTCCAGCCAATTTTCAGCCAAAAATCTCAAAAATTCCAGACTTTACTACCATTTATCATGATGTATTGCCCTGTTGGCCTGCTTATTGCAATTCCATTTTTCGAAATTTCCGTTGGTCGAGCTGCAA